GGCATTTTATTGTATTTTATTTTTTGCCAGTTTGGGGCTTGAACTCAGGGCCTGGGCATTGTCCTTGAGTTTGTTTTGCTCAAGGATAGCACTCTACCACTTGAGCCACAGCACCACTTCCAGCTTTTTCTGTGTATGTGGTACTGAGGAATTGAACCCAGGGCTTCATGCATGCAAGGCAAAGCACTCTATGGGCTGGGAAGGTGGCTCAGTGGTAGAGCGCTTGCCTCGCATGCCTGAGGCCCTGGGTTCGATTCCTCAGCACCACATAAGCAAAAAGAAAAAAGCCGGACGTGGCGCTGTGGCTCAAGTGGTAGAGTGCTAGCCTTGAGCTGAAGAGCTGAGGGACAGTGCCCAGGCCCAGAGTTCAGGCCCCATGACCGGACCCCCCCCCAAAAAAAAAGCACTCTACCACTAAGCCACATTCCCAGCCAGGCTGGGATTGACACTGTGCCTAGGTTTGTTGAAGTGTAATATGAATGTATAGCAATTGTAAGTAAATGGCCACACGGTGACAGGATGCAGAGTGCATGTGAGCTGAGGAATATCTCATTACTGGTCCTGACAGAGTCCTGTAAGCTCATTTGCTGGAAAGAAGCTGGATTTAATTCTTCCAGCTTAGGCCTGTTACAGGTCACATGATTACTGTGGTTGGCCCTCCCTGCCTTGCCTTCCTTTCTCACACTTTCCTCTTTTAGGAAGCAAGACAGCTGATTATTTCTGAAACTGAATGTTGCTTCCCATTGGTTGAAATTGGTGTTGCCCTGGCAGCACTTGTAAACATTCCGAGAACCTTGAATCAAAGTTGCTAAGAGACTCCTGAGGCTTCCTCAACTACTGCTCCTACTGCTTCAAACATATCCACTCACTCAGGTATTGGGGTTTCTTAAGGATGGGGAGCCCTTAAAAATGTTCTGATCTGGTTCTCTGTAATTATCACTCAGACCCAAAACTTGACCTACCCTCATTTCTTCCCATCCATTCTGCCCACCTATTAGGAAGGGAAGGGAAGAAAAAAGAACTAGGAGACGCTAGTGGGAGGGATGCTCAAGAAAAATGTGTGTCCACAGATGTGTGAAGATAAAAACAGCTGCTCTCTGAGCCCTGATCCTCACCTGCTCCCTCCTATTGGAGCACAATCTCCCTGAAAAAGGTCTTAAGGTTGTCTTCCATGCATAAAGTCCCCATGTCATTTGCTTGTTATAGCTCACAGATTTGGCTTCTACTTGATTTATCAATAGACAATTTGCTGAAAGCTAAGTCACCAAATGGGCAATTCCACAAAGGATCAAGACACTGTATGGATAATTCATCAAAGTCTCCTAATGGGAGCAATTTCTAAAAATCTTTTTGTGGGGTTGTCTAGTTGGTAGCAAACTGCTTTGGCCAAACAGGCATGGTGTAAGGGCCACAGGGACACAGTTTTTCAGTGGTAGGGGCATTTAGATACACTTATCACCTATTCTTTAGCCTTTTCTTGCTCTGGCATACATACCCTAGATAGACCCCATTTTCCTTAGCATCTGATCCTGTCTACCCATAAGATGCAAGAGGGAACCGAGGCAGAGGCAAACAGAGCATAAAATGCTAATATCAAGGCCTAAATTATTCAGAAGGCATTTAAATTATTTTTGGGTTGAAGGCCATAGGAACTGGTTTCCTTTTGCAGTATGGCGGAGCAATCATGACGAAGAAGGAAACAAGGGTGTCCTTCAAGAAAGAGAGTGGGGGGGGGTGGGGGGGATGTGGCTTAGTGGTAGAGTGCTTACCTAGCATACATGAAGCCCTGGGTTGGATTCCTCAGTGCCACATACACAGAAAAAGCCAGAAGTGGTGTTGTGGCTCAAGTGGTAGAGTGCTAGCCTTGAGCAAAAGAAACTCAGGGACAGTGCCCAATCCCTGAGTCCAAACCCCAGGACTGGCAAAAAAAAAGAGTAGCTCTGGAGGCCAACCTGGGCTACATAGTAAGACCTTGACTCCAAGAAAGAGAGCGGGTACATTCTGGATTGCAGATGAATATGTGAGAGCAGGACTCCACTGCCCTCCTGTCTTCTTTTTCTTTTTTCTCTTGGTGCAGGTACTGGGGCTTGAACTCAAGGCCTGGATGCTGTCCTTTAGCTTTTTTTGCTCAAGGCTAATGCTCTACCACTTGAGCCACAGCTCCACTTCTGGCGTTTTGGTGGTGAGTTGGAAATAATAGTCTCATAGACTTCCTTGCCTTGGCTGGTTTTGAACCAAGATCTTCAGATCTCAGCTTCCCAAGTAGCTAGGATTATAGGCATAAGCTATTGGAGCATGGTCTCAAATGTTTTTCTCAATGTGATAAAACTTAGGTCATACCAGGCATCCTGAATAGAGTAATTAAAAAAAAGCATGCCTACAAAAGGAGAATGCTCATTATCTACTAGGATTTATAAGAAAAGAGTAAGAATGACATACACAAGCAGACAGTAACTTCTTGAGTTTTCTTTTCTTTTCTTTTTTCTTTTTGTCGGTTGTGGGGCTTGAACTCTGGACCTAGGCACTATCCCTGAGCTCTTCAGCTCAAGGTGAGTGCTCTACCACTTGAGCCACAGTACCACTTCTGATTTTCTGGTGGTTAATTGGAGATGAGAGTGTCACAGACTTTCCTGACTGGGCTGGCTTTGAACTGTGATCCTCAGATCTCAGCCTCCTGTGTAGCTATGATTACAGGCATGAGCTACCAGTGCCCAGCTTGAATTTGTTTCTTTCTTTTTTTTGCCAGTCCTGGGGCTTGAACTCAAGGCCTGGACATTGTCCCTGGGCTTCTTTTGCTCAAGGCTAGCACTCTACCACTTGAGCCACAGCACTATTGCTAGCCTTTTCTGGGGCTTGAACTCAAGGCCTGGGCACTGTCCCTGGGCTTCTTTTGCTCAAGGCTAGCACTCTACCACTTGAGCCACAGCACTATTGCTAGCCTTTTCTGTTTATGTGATACTGAGGAATTGAACCCAGGGCTTCATGCATGTTAGCCAAGCACTCTACCACTAAGCCACCTTCCTAGCCCCTTGAATTTCTTTCTATCTTCCTCTCTCTGTCTCTGTCTCCCTTCCTTCCTTCCTTCCTTCCTTCCTTCCTTCCTTCCTTCCTTCCTTCCTTCCTTCCTTCCTTCCTT